GCAAGAAGTGTTATTCCCAGGTGGCGGTGTCAATTTATCCGCAACTAGGCATGTCACCCTTTTCACCCCGCGGCTGATTTACCGGGGAAAATTAGGAAGGGGAGGCTAATAGCATTGTGCAAAAACATAGACTTAATAGTTAGTAAAACGTAGAATTGGAATGCGTAACGCAACAAAGTCGACACGCCCACACAAAGGGGACCGTTCTCTTTGTTTAGATTGGGGTTTCAACTCCTCCTCACCTGTGTCTTGCAAAGCTAAGTCCGTAGGCAGTCTTGAAACAATTCCCTACAGTGTGAAAAAGGGTTCGCTAGGAGGAACGCTTGAGCGATGACGATTTTGCAGTGAGGCCCAAGCAGGCTCAATGAGCAATGGTCCAGACCGTTTTGTCGCTTGATGACACAGCCCGTGTATGCCACGCTCCAACTTCGCCAGCTTTTCTCAAGACAAATATTTGGTTTTTTGAATTTTAATGTTTGTTCCTGCACTTTATCTCCAAATGCCCTGAATTGTTCCAAACATTTTCTGGTGAGCACCGTTGGGGACGGAGTTGCCGGAGGAGTCACGAGACCGTCCTCCCTGCTCCCTTCATTTCATGTATTTGGACGTCCCCACACCACAGCGACAGAAATGCCATTGTTTCTGTAATACGAAACAGAAGTGCGGGAAGAGACACAACTTCAGGCCGCCAATGCAGGCTAAGCGTGGAATAGGATGTCTCCACGTGGGAATCCCATCTGGACTGCCCATCGGTTACTTTGTGTCTTTGTTTCACCACACATTTAGCTTGCTGGGCCGCAGCTGCATCCAACTATTTGACTGCTGTGCGCAGGGTCACCGCAGCACTTGAGGCAAGCTGCTGACCTTAGGTCACTTCGGCAGTGCATCTCCCGAGCATCTTTGAGGAGCACAACTGGAAAATGGATGGCTGCGGCAGCCGCTTTCTGGTCCCGCTCGCCCTTATGCTCACGGGATTTGCCTTTTCGTGGTTGCTTGTGCTGAGACCTGAGCCAGCAGCAGCAGCAGCAGCAGGAGCACCGCGCTCACCTCCATCTTTAGCGGGAGGTCACGCCAATTCCCGTGAAACAGAGAATAGCCGATGGTATCAAAAGCCAAAGAGAGGTCAAAAGACCAATGACCTTCCTGTAGGTTGGCTGAAAGAACTGTTAGAAGGACGCGGGGCGGCATTAGGGAAGCACGCGGCCGAACGCCACAGTACTCACGCTACCAAGGAACAGACGCCAACACCGTCAGTATCTTACCACATACAGGTTCTACCAGAGAGCGTTTTTTCAGTCGGAATGGCCACATTTTCTAGTAATGTTCAACGTGCCCTCAAGCAGCCCCAGATGGTGGTGGAGCACTTCCACGACGAAGACGCAACGAAAATAACGGCGTTTCCGTCAGCAGGGTCGCAAAGATCCCGTAGTCCTTCTCCTGAAGGCCTAGTCGAGAGTAACGAACCAAGTATGCAGTCTCCTACTCTTGAAGAGGGAGAGGTACAGCCGCCTAACCTTCCCGGCATGAAGAGGCAAACAGTATTCTATCATGATGAGCGCTTTGCCCCTCTGTGGAGACCAGATGCATATGAAAGGAGGAACACAGGTGATTTGCAGAATAATATATGTTTTCATTTGACACTTTCACTGGCTAATGCGCGGCATGTTGGGTGTTATCATCAGTGTGGGGA